GCTCAGCCGATCAGCTCCCATCTCTCCTATTGCATTAGATCCTACCTCACCTCTTTCCATCCTCATCTGGTTACTCGAACGCCATATCGAACACGGCGTTCATCCTTCCAAAAGGCTTCCGAGCTGCCGAGTCGAGAGAACTCCGCTTGCTCCGCACCAACCCGACAAGCCCCTGAAGGCCTGCCGGCGGAACAGGTTGGAGGTTCGGTTTCATGAGTCCGATCATGCTCTGGTCCTGCTGTGGTCAGTTGACAAAGCGGTATCCAATTGGTAGTTTTGATCAGATCCCTTTACTCTTGCGGATCACAAGTCGTCATCCCTTTTTTGCTCTTCATCCAACCTTGTTCAGCTCTTTTGCACATTTTTTCCTTGGACCCTTTTTAGGCGCTGACCCTTGTGGTTATTTTTCCACTCGTCTTGATACGGTCTCATCTGAGGACTTCAACTGCTTTATACGCGTGCCTTCAACATTTACTAGACGTTTCTTCATACTATCTTTATGTCAGAGGACATCGTATACTTTTGTTCCGAGAAATACTGTATATCTGGACAAAAAACCATGCTCTCCTCGACTCGCTTTTGAATCTGTAATTCCCCAGTTTTGTCTTTACAGATTTAAGGCCACTCTCGAAGTTTTACTTTAGTCATTGTAACTATCCTTTCTTTTGAATTGACTTTTGTCCTGAGCTTGGAGTTAGCTTCATCATCATTAGACCAGCCTCGATACCGTCCCGACTTTCTTGTGAGCGACCTGAGGCCATTTGCCTCTGCTCTACCCTAATCTGTCTTCGGAACATTGCTGAATCACTGTTTGCAAATTGCTCTTTCATAGACACGAGGATTAGCATGTCGCAGCCTCCTTTCACTATATAGGAGTGGTCTGACCTCGTTTTCGCAACTTGGTCGTGTTGTCAGGGTAACTTGGTTGGACGCACCGAAGTCCACGATTCGACGCTGGGACTTATGATGGCTATTATAGCAAAGGACTTTGCACGGGGTGCGCCCAACTAAGTCACCCTAACAACACGACCAGATTGCGAAAACGAGGTCAGACCACGTGCTCTTTGACATATTAGTTGAAATGACAGATTTAGGCAAAAGAACTTCATTTTCGTTGCCGTCTATCGGATTTAGGCGCTAACTGACACGTAAACTAGGAGTGTTTCTTCTCAAGGGCATTTCCCTTCATTCAATGTCCTGTAGGGAGTCTGGGTTGAAAGTGTGAAAACGTATACTCTATTTTGAACTGCGGGTGCGTTTGCACATGCGGGCATAAATCACACCTCTTGTCATTCTTTTATACATGACCTTCTGTTAATAGGGAATTTAGCCCAAGGTGCTTTAGGAGGCTCCACCGTCCTCTTCAACAATTAGGACAGAAGGCTGGGCTTTTGCATTCTCTGTCGCTCTTGGTACAGGTCGGTCGCTATATGATGATACTTCTATCATACCTGACTGCATACGACCGACTTTAGACCAGAAGGTTCCTGGAACCCTTCATTATTGACAATGTCTGTTTGCAAGAGCAGGATGTGACAGACTTGTAGCAGATTTGTGGTTGCGATGGAAGGGTCTTGGGCAAAAGTTATTATTTCATCTTCCACGGTTTGGTGAACGAATGGAGCAGTCGGCACATGAGGAGGCGCTTAGCGACTGCCCGACGCAAGCATCGGTTCATATAGGAACTCAGCTCCGAAGCCGATGCGAACCGAGGGTGTACATGTCATGGGCACAGATACCGAGTCGTTTGTTAGAACAAGGGTTGGACAAGTGAGTATTAGATTCTTGCCATGTTTTCTCTGCCGTTTGACCATGGTCTCCGAGGCTTGGTTACAACGTGATGGGGACGTGTTCGAGGCACCTATACGCCATCACCCCTTGGAGAGCTCTCCTCGAAACCGAAGTGTCTGGTGTTCTCGTTCTGCCTCGGCTGCATCACTCAAATGTGGACGGAGAGGACGGGGCCTCTCGGTCGGTGGTAATCTCCCTGCTGCTTTTCGTTTACTTAACAAGCTGCTACTGCTGCTGCCGCATATCTGAGTACTACTCATTTTCATCAAGATTAGATCATTTGATGACCTCTACGACAGCCCTTATTACTCGACACTCCTT